CTCTCTCTCTCTCTCTCTCTCTCTCTCTCTCTCTCTCTCTTTCTTTCTTCATTGTTTTGAGAGAAGACTTCATAATCTAGCTGAGGCTGGCTTGAACTTCTTGTCTCATGAGTGCTGGGATTACAGTTATATACTACCCCTGCCCTGTCAGAGCCAGCCTAATCTCAGAGTTCCTGTCCTTAACCACTACACTGTTACTCTCACTGATTACTATATATCATTCATGAATTAGCAAAGAATCCAAACTATTGTTAACAAATCAAATTCCCTGGGTAATAAAAACCAAACAATAAAACAAATTCTGTTTTTATGATCACCTTAATGCTTTGTTAATTTTTTTCTCAGGAGTTTCAGCCATTTTGTGAGTTAAAGAGAAGAAAATACTGTTTTATTTATTTTGAAACAGCATCTTGCTATGTTGCCCAGACTGGCCCCAAATCATGGACTCAAGTGATCCCCATTTCATTTTTCCTAACAGTTGGAAATATGAATCTACAGGTGGGGAAAAGTTATTTTTGTTTGCTTATTTTGTTTGTTTTGAGGCAGGGTTTCATTATGTAGACTGGGCTGACCTTGAACTTGTGATCCTCTTGCCTCAGCATATGGACTGTTAGAATTGCAAGAGTGCAGCAGCACCACTCCCCCCACCCCAAATGTATTGTAAACACAGGAAAATACCTTGATATAAATGAAAATTCATATTTTTAAAAATTTAAAATTTTTTTTTTGATCTTTTTGAGACAGGGTTTCCCTATAGTCTCATCTGGCCTGGAACTGTCTATGTAGATCAGGCTGGCCTCAAACTCACAAAGATCTGCTTGCCTCTGCCTTCCAAGTGCTGGGATTAAAGGCATGAGCCACCAAGCCCAGGAAAGTTGTTTTTTATAGAATGAGAGATACAAATCTAATGAAACAGGGTCTCCCTGTAGCCCCAGCTGTCCTGGAACTCACTATGTAGACCAGGCTGGCCTCGAAGTCACAGAAATCCGCCTGCCTCTGCCTCCCGACTGCTGGGATTAAAGGTGTGGTCATGCCCAGCTTGTTATTTTTATGTGTATATGAGTATATTGCCTGCTTGTGTAAGTGTACCCATGTCACGTAATGCCTGTGGAGGTCAGAAGAAGGCGTTGGATTCCCCCAGAACTGGCACTACGGATGGTTATCAGCTGCCATGTGGGTGCTGGGAATCAAACCTGGGTTCTCTGCAATAACAGCCAGGGCTTTTAACCACTGAGCCATCTCTCCAGTCCTGAAAATTCATATTCTATCTGGTGCTAAAACCTAGTGCTTCTTTTCCCATTGGGGCTAAATTCAGTTGTATTTGGCCACACCCTGGATGGAACAATTTCACAGTGGTCTTTTGTGTGTGTGTGTGCGTGTGCATGTGTTGTGTGCACAGGATTGTGGCAGTCACAGGACAACTTTGTCAGTTCTCATCTTCTCTGCCTTGAGACAGGGGTGTCTTCACCCCTGGGCATGTGAGCCAAGTCTGCAAGCTTCTGGAGATTCTTCTGTTTCTGTCTCCCATCTTCCTGTGAATCGGCTGGGATTACAGAGCTTGTGCTAATGTGTGTCTGGCTTTTCAGTATTGCTAGTAGCTTTTCCTGTGAGTTCTGGGGATCCAAACTCAGGTTGTCAGACTTATGTGGCAAGCACTTTTACTCACTGGAATCTCCCTACTGTCCCCCATAGTGTTCTTGTAATAGTGAATATCTATGTTGGAATTTGTAGCTCAGTGGTAGAGTACTTGCTTAGCATTCAAGGCCCTGAGTTCATTTCTCAGCAACACACACACACACACACACACACACACACACACGAATCAAGTGACTATGGTACAATGTGACTATTATAAGTACTTAGTTCCCATCTGTCTTATTCCATCTTGTGTTCTCAGTACACAGCATTTTGAAAGTGTTCAATACATATTAATCAAGATATAAGTGAATAAATGGAGAAAAAAGTTAAAAAGAAACCTCATGCAATCCAGATCAGTGTTTAATAGTTTGCATTTGAATATTATTACCATTCATAATTTTATCCAATAATTTAATCCATTTTCAGTAGTTGAAGGTTACTTTCTAATGTTAAAGGCAATCGAATATAAAACCTCTAAGGCAGTAAGAACCAGTAAGAACACACACACACACACACACACACACACACACACACACACACACTTGAGCACATACACATGTTAGCTTAGTACTATGAAGCACATGCAAGAACTACATACACCTATGTTACCAACTCTTAGCCTCCCAGTGCTTGTTTTGTTCACTCTACGCAATGCTCCAGCCCGAATTTAAAGCAAAATTTCAAGTGGTATGTCCAGTAACTGACACTTTAAAATAAAAAAAATTAAAATTATGGGTATATATGTGTCTCGGTGTAGGTAAGGGCATGTGAATGGAAGTGCCTGTGGAAGCTAGAGGTATTGGATCCTGGAGCTGGAGTTACAGGCACTGTGTACCACCTGATGTTGGTGCTGGGAACCCAACTTGGGTACTCTGGACAAGTAATCAGTGCTCTTAACTGCTGAGCCATCTCTCCAGGCTCCAGTACCTGATACTTTTTTTTTTAATAAAACAAACAAGAAAGCCAAAGGAAACAAGCATCATCAAGTTTGAGAATGTAGAGAACTAGCTCAATAATACAATGCAAGAACAGCATGGCAGGGTGGGATGGTGAGTCAATGGCATGTAGGGTGTGTGCATACAAAAATTACTTTTCTTCTGCTGGTGTCACTCTTTAGACTACATACGTTAAAGGTGAGTAAGTTCTGACTCAGAAACAAGGTCAAAGTTATTTGTCCTTGTCATCAATGCAAGGCCTGACCACGTGCACAGTGAGAAAAACATGCCAGTGGGAAGATTATCTTTACAGTCAAGCATTTTAAAGGAAACAGAAACATGCTCGGCTAGATAGGCAGTAAAGAAATTCAGTAAGAGTTCTTGGAGGCCGGGCGTGGTGGTGGTGCACACCTTTAATCTCAGCACTTGGGAGGCAGAGGCACCCCGATCTCTGTGAGTTGGAGGTGAGCCTGGTCTACATAGCGATTTCCAGGCCAGCCAGGCCTGCATGGTGAGACTCTGTTCCTCTTTCCCCCTCCAAAAGAGGAATTCATAGCAACATGAGGAATAGGGCTACACCAGTTTTGCCAATAAGAGTGCACACAAATCTAGGTGACTGCAACTTAACATCCAGAAACAATTCCCAAAATTAAAATGTAATAACCCAGCACGTTACCATCTCCTTGTGAATTTTATAGCATTTAAATCTGGCTTTATGCCTGCTGCTAAGTGTATTTGAAGGAATCCTCAAATGGAGAGCAGGGAAGCACAGGATTCACAAGCCTCAGCTGTGTTTGCTACTGAGCTGTGCACGTGGTGGGCACTCAGCCCTCCACTGACTTGACAGATGGAGGTGGGGCACGGGAGATTCCGGTAGCAGGCATCCCAAAACGCTTACGTGAAGAGCCGAACGTAGGTGAAAGTTGGCAAGGGCTGGCGGGTTCGGACGTGTGTGTGTGTGTGTGTGTGTGTGTGTGTGTGTGTGTGTGTCGGGTTCGGACGCGTGTGTGTGTGTGTGTTTGCGTGTGCGCGCGCGCAGGCACTGCAAAGCCCCCGACGGCCCCAGTGGTGGAGTGGTGGGCCGTGGCCTCCGCCCTGCGGGGCGCGGCGCGGGGCGGGGCCAGCCGGAGCTCCCCCCACCGAGTAGCGGAGGTGGAGGGGGGCGTGGAGACGCTCTGTCCCACGCTTGCCCAGTGCTCGGTGGTTTAAAGATGGCGGCGGCGGCTGGAGCTCTGAGCCGCCGGAGGAGGGGGGAGAAGGAGTGTCTGTGAGTCGCCCATAGGTAGCGCGGCGGCGGCTGTGAGGAGTCCGCGTGTGGAGCGGCCGGCGACTCGGCCCCTGGAGGCCTGGGCTGGGCAGGAGAGACCCGAGCGGCGCCGGGAGCCCCGAGGCCGGAGCGGAGGAGGAATGTGATCAGGGGTCGGCGGGGGCGCGGGAGTACGCGAGCACCGGGATGGGGCAGCAGGTGGGCCGCGTCGGGGAGGCTCCGGGGCTCCAGCCGCGCGGGATCCGGGGTAGCAGTGCAGCCAGGCCCTCGGGCCGCAGGCGGGACCCGGTGGGGCGCACCGCAGACGCCGGCTTCAATGTCTTCACCCAGCATGGTGAGTGTGTCCTGCGCCGGCGGAGGGCGTGGGGGAGGCGGGGGTGGGGGTGGGGGCGGGTGACGCGGCGGACGGGCAGTCCTCTGGGGGTGAAGGCTGGAGGGGTGCCTGCGAGTGGGGGCGGAATCTGCTGCCATCTGGGCCAGTCACCGGAGGCGAGGCACACCCCTCCCCCCGCCCGGCTCCGCGCTCCAGCCTGGCAGGCAGCTTCTGGGGGCGGAGGACAGGGAAGCATGCAGGGGTCTTAGAGGCGCGGGCTAGATTGTCTTCTGTCCTGGGACCGGACTGGGCGGCTTGTGGAATAGTGGATGGTATCCCTGGGGAGGGAAAGATGAAGGCTGGTGTGCAGGTTCGGGAGGTGGGAGGATAAACCGGTTATCGGCAGGCCACAGGAGTTGTGCCCTAAGGAATTGGGAAATAGGTAATGAATCTTAGGTGATTGTGGCATATTCGATATGTGTATTAAGTCAGGCAGTGAATGGTGTCAGAATGGTGAACTGTGAACGGTGCCCTATATAGGCCCTTCTTAGTATCTCTTCACTTTCCACAAAATATTTTCCCCAAACTAGAAATAAAGGGCTTCGCCAGGCTGTCCTGTTTTGCGTATGTGAGTAGGACACAGGATTCTGAGATGGCTGGCAGAGTTATAATTGGTAGGCATGGTAAGGGCTTCCATATGGATATCAACGAGTGTTTTTCTTTGAGCCACATTTGCGTGTACGTGTGTCTGCATACATATGTGCACATGCTCTCTAAGTAGCCTGGAACTTAGTTATTCTCATGTTTTCAGAAGAGCTGTCTCTAAACTTTTTATTACATTATTTGTGTATAGGTGTGTGTGTGTGTGCATGCATATGGAGTCTAGGACAACTTGTAGGGATCGGTTCTCACCTTCCACAATGTGGGTGGGTCCCAGGGATTGAACTCAGGTCATCAGGCTTGGAGGCAAGTGCCTTTACCTGTTAAGCCATCTCGCTGGTCCAATGTCTATAAACTCTTTGGTCAAACACTCTAAATCAATAAAAAATTGGGGCATCTGCTCTAATAATTTATGCCTTTATTGATTATATACATGAGCTACTACCATAATTTACAAACACAGAAATAGAAGAAAGGATAAGCTGGAAAGATAAGTACAGGGCTTTGTAAATGTGTGGCGGAGTACACACTTAGCATGACTAAAGCCCCAAATTCAGTCCCCAGCAGCAAAAAGAAATAAAAGAAAAAATAAGTATGAGCATTAATTTTTATTCTCAAAGCCAAGTAGATCATTTTGTACCTCCATAAAATACATTAATTTGAGAACACTTTTCTAGAAGAGGGAAGAACAGAGGAGGAAAAAAAAAAGATGTCCTTAGACCTGAGAGAGTCTGGAGATACAGATATGACTTCTATAGAAAGGACTGGATGATTGAAATTGTATGAGTGGCAGCAAACTGGAGTTTTCATAGAAAATTCATAGAAGAAAAGAAGGGGGTGCGTGTTAAAGAAGCAGACTGTCCTTTACTACGTGATTTGGGGAAAGAGAAGGGAAAGATTTGTGAACTAATCATTAAAAATAGAGTTTTAGAGGAAGTGATGATAGATGGCAGGGTACAGAGAGTGAGCTGACCCCAAGGATTTATGGCTACTGGGTGAGTTGTGCCAGAGTTCTGCATTTGCACTACTGGATAGACTTGAGTTGTTTCTTAAAGGAGGAGATGGGATCATCCTGGTTTTACATGCCTCCTGTTAAACATGCTTGAGCAGCTCTTCAAGGTATGTGAATATTTTATGTAGGTGCTATGTGGGTTAGTCTCTATTGAAATCACTTTCTAAATCATAGAAAAAAAAGAAGGATTAATAGTTTTTGGGGAAAGAAATCATCCAATAAAGCTTTGCTTTATGGGACGTGTTACTATGTACTAAACTTGGCCTGGTGGGCAACAGTGATCCTCTTCCTGTAGTATCTTATTCAGGACACAAGATTTTCAAAGGAGGAAGAAGTCAGGAAGATTGGAATAGGAAGAGATTTTGAAGGATGAACAGGATTTGAATCTATGGAGCAGGAAAAAGGAGCAGGCTGGACAGGAGAAACTTCAACAGAAACAATGGAAATATTATTGATGGATAGTAAGGAGACATTTATCAGGTGTGAAGGAGGCTTATGAACTGTAAAAAAAGAAAAAAACCCTGGAAAGTACTACAGCAAAAATTGGAAGAGAAGTTCTTTGGGTTTCTTTCTTACTTTTTTTTTTTTCCTTATTAAAGCAGCATCTCTCAGGGTAGCACACGCTGGCCTTAAACTGCCACAGTCCTCCTTACTCAGCCTCTCAAATGCTGGAATTATGGGCACGTACATCCAGAGTCTATCTTTTATCTGTGAAAAGTGATGCCTTTTAACTTTACAGATTTGTGATTCTAATTGTAAGTAGTAGGAACAAAACTTTAAATAGATTGGAGGAGACTGGGCTATATGGGAAAATCTGTCAGAAAAATTTTCTCAGTTTAGTTGATTGTCCATAGTTTATAAGATCTGCCAATAAACCCAATTATGAAATATAATACTGAAATGTTGGCTTTGAAGGCAGTGAATTAGAAGCAGTGAAAATAGGAGGGGCTAAGCTCAAGGGGCATTTTGTTTAGTAAACAAGTTTTTTTGAGTACTGCTTGGGCTCTGAGATGTTGTGAATATGAGTCCCTAACTTCAGGAACTTAAAGAACTTGATGATTCTGCCTAGAAGATGAAAGAAGAGTTCATTTTGAAGATGTTGAGGGATGAGCTCTGAAGCCTTTCTACCTGAAACCTGACTCCTCTGCTTATTTACCTATGTGACTTTGGGCAAGTTATACCTTGGGTTCTGTATTTGTGAAATGGGGATTTTAAGGGTACCCAGCTTTGTGTGTTATTATATGAAAGCACTTAGAATAGTGTGTTGAACATATTAAGAGTTCATTATGGGCCAAGTGTTGTGGCACACACCTTTAACTCCAGCACTTGGGAGGCAGAGGCAGGTAGATCTAGATGAGTTCAAGACCAGCCTATTCCACACAGCAAGTTCTAGACTAGCCAGGGCTACACAATGAAACCCTGTCTAAAAAAAAAAAAAAAAAAAAGAGTACAGTGTTTCTTACCTGCTTTCATCACTATTATTAAAAACAGAGATGTGTCAAAGTTTAACACCAATGTTTTAAATCTGGGTAACTCAGATAATAAAGATTTTATTGACAAGTTTGGAAGTTGGAGCTGATGGATAAGAAGTGTAAGGGTAGCCAAAGACTAGTGTGGAAAGAATGGAACGAACAAATAGTATGAGAGATAAAGGTAAAGTAAGTACTGTACTTTAGACAGATGGGTATTTAAAGATTTTTCTAGGGGCTGGGGAGTTGGCTTAGCAGATAAAGATGCTTTCTGCCAAGCCAAGCCTAACAATCTGTATTCCATCCCTAGAACGTATATGGTGGGAGCAGAGAACTCCTGAAACTTGCCTTCTAACTTCAGCACCCCCCCCCCAATACATATAAACAAGACAGCTTTTTATAGATCAGGGTTTTGTAGCCTGAGCAGTAGTGATATTTTGGGTTGGGTAATTCTTTGCTCTGTATGTGGTGGTGGAGTCTGTCCTGTACATGGTAGGATGTTAGGCAGCATCCCTGGCTTTTGCCCACTAGATGCCAGTAGCACCCTGGCTTTTTTCCTTTCTTTTTTTTTTTTTTTTTCCTTCAAACAGTAGTTAGAGATTAAACCTAGGGATGCTAAATGCTAAGCAAGTGCTCGATCACTGAACTATTTTTCTAAGCCTCTAGTTACACCCACTTTTGTTTCCTTAGATACAAACCAAAATATCTTCACACTGCTAATCCTGACCTTCCTAGGGTGCTCAGATTATTCACAGTTAGGTACTACTGTTTAGAAACATGGCAGATACTGATTGAATGAGTAAATTAATTAAATCTAAAAGTTCCTCCTTGTACTGAGGATGTAGTAGCTCAGTGGTAGAACACTTGCTTAGCTTGTACAAGGTTCTCAGTTCAATCTGTAGGATCACCTGAAAAGTTAAAAAACTCCTTAGTAGAAATAACATTTGATACTTATGTGAAAAAAATTTAGGTCATAGAACTCATAGTAATCACTGTCTTGCTGGGTGGTGCATGCCTGTAATCTCAGTCCAAGGAAGCTGAAGCAGGAGGATTGCTGTGTGTTTGAGGTCAGCCTATGCTATGTAGTACTCAGCTAGCCAGGGCTATGTAGCAAGACTCTCAAAAAACTGAAGAAAAAAAAAGAAAAAAACCCATTGTCCTGAGTTTGTAATACTGAAGTATTAGCATATAAATCTGTATATAAAAGGTTTGACATGGGTCTGGAAAGATGGCTGAGTGGTTAAGAGCACTTGTTGCTCTTGTAGAGGACCTGAGTTCAATTCCCAGCACCTGTGTCAGGCAGCTTACAACTTCCTATAACTGTAGCACCAGGGGCTCCTATGCCCTCTTCCTGACTCTTCAGGCCCCACACATGTATACTCACACATAGACATACATACATACACATAAATAAAAATAAGTCTTATGTGCACACCTTTAATCCCAGCACTTGGGAGGCAAAGGCAGGCGGATCTCTGAGTTCAAGGCCAGCTTTGTCTACATAGTGAGTTCTAGGCCAGCTGGGGCTACAGGGAGACCTTATCTTAAAAAAAGACCAAAAAAAAAATTATTTTGTATGTATGTATGTATGATGTATGTGAGTGCAGGTGCATGTGAAGGTCAGAAGACAATTTTTAAAAATTTATTTTTATATATATGAGTATATTGCCTACATATATATGTTCACCACATGGTGCAGTGCCTGCAGAGGCCAGATTATGGCCAGTAGGAATCCCTGGAACTGGAGTTACAGACTGTTGTTAGCCACCATGTGGATGCTAGGAATCAAACCTGGGTCCTCTGCTAGAGCAGCCAGTACTCTTAATTGCTGAGCCATCTCTCCAGCCCTAGAGGACAACTTTTGGGAGTTGGTTTTCTCC